GCATATCGTGTCCAACAACCAACATGTGCACCTCCTTGCCGAAGCCATGGTCGGAGGTCGCGCAGCCGGCTCTGTCTCAACACCGGCAGAGCCATATCGGTCAAAAAGCGCTGGAAATCGCTCAATCGATGGCCTGGCCAAATGGTTTCTCGGTTTCTCCTGATGGACTGAGATGATTTCATGTGTCTGACTCCCCACAGGTCCCCACACCAGTGTTTTGTGTTTTGGATGTATAACCCCACTTGTAGTTGGGCGGTAGTTGCATGTTGTGGATATGGATGGCAGCCGATCGCAGCTGCCCTTCCCCGACCACAAAATGTTCTGACCTTGTTCTTTCCAAGCTTTGCTCCAAAGACTCGTGAGGCGCAACAAACCTTCTTCGGCATTGGATCCCTGAAATTTCTCAGCATTGCCCCCCGCATCATGCCAAAACTTGACTTCGGCCATCTCTCTCCTTTCAACCGCATTCAAATGCGTGACTTTTTCGGGGGGGAACTTCATCAAATGCCTCTCAGCAAGTTAGGTTTGACTCAAAAATGTAATCAGCAAACACTGGGCCACGCTTCCTGGTCTGTTCCTCTTCTTTGGCATCTGCAGGTACTTGTACCACTTCTCGCTTTCCTATCTTTGGTCCTGGCGCCATCTATATACAGGGACCTTTCAAAGAAGTTTCTAGGGACTTCTCGGAAAATCAGAAAAGGAGTGCGGCACGCATGGATCAATGGATCTATCGGATGCAGTTTTTCAATCTGTCCACATTTTGATGATGAAGTTTTCTGCATCGGCATGAAGTGCTGGACTTTCACAGCTCTTGACCTGCATCTTTCATCATCTTTCAGTCGTTTTCTGGCAAACTCTGATACCTAGTGCCACCTTGACAGAATTAGCTTCAAACTTCAAACAGGTTGAAGCCGCAGCAAATCAACAGGTTGGGTCCTGCATCCATCGGCTCCTTCGGCTCCTTCGGCTGCGATTCCTTGAGCTCTGGCTTGGCTTCTTGCGTTTCCTGCGGCTCAGGGATGTGGCGGGCCATCTTCCATGACCTCGGCCGCGCCAACGGTGTTGTGGTCGACGATCTCAATCTCAAAACCCCGGAGAAGCTGATGAACAGCATGAAGAGAAGAGCTAAGCCTGCTAAGATATGCTGAAGAGATTCAAGGATTGAATAGCAATAATTTGGGAATATTTGGGATGTTTGTCTGCCATCTTTGTTGCGGTGTTTTTTCCTCATCCCTAACATACCAACGGTATCAACATCAGAACCTTTGGCCTCCACCCCACTTCAGCTGGAAGTTAACAATGCAGACACGGCCACAAAAACGCTGCTCGCAGGGAGACGAAACGGACTGCCATACGTTGCTTTCTGCGGGACGTCCAGGTAACCTGTCTTCAGTGTGGAAGTCAGGAATTCCAAGCTCTTTGAAGACTTTGCAATCCCACACCTCTACTAACTCTACTAGAGAACAGTGACGCGCAACTTCCCCACAGCATTTATCTCGGCCTTGTCCACTCGGCCATAGTGACGTACTAAATCACCTCCACAGAAGCCCCCAGCAGCACGACCCTTCTCTGCCAACAAAAGCTCGTCTGATCGATCGAAACGCCCAAACTCCGCGTGAGACTTTTGACGTACAGAACGTAAACCCGAATGAACCAGCTCGATCGCTCTTCGTTTGCCGGCAGCTGGTGCTGCTAGAAATTCCTGAAGGCCACCAAAAACGCCTATTTCATTGTAGGATCTTTTCTGCACCCCATAGGCAAACCACTGTCGCGGCACTTTCTCCGAGCTTTCGCGATCTGCGCTCATACCCGGATCATAGAATCTCCTGAGTGTCAGCTTGGGTGTGTGTGGGGGGCGTTTTACCTTCTTCAAGCACTTGTAGTAGTTTGTTTGGATTTTGATATGCAGGGGCAGGAGGTGCCTTGACCATTGCTGCCCTCCAAGGGGCTGATAAGATGAAGCAGTAAAATCCTCTGCGGCACCCTCATGCGCTATGAGGTTGTCCCGCTTGTCAAGCTTCGAACCTCGGCTTCAGCACGGCCGCAGGTGTGATGCTTCCATGATGGTTCCATGATGGTTCCATGATGGTTCCATGATGGTTCCATGATGGTTCCATGATGGTTCCATGATGGTTCCATGGCATGTGAGCTCCGTGCTGCCTAGGTGCCGGAGTTGCGGATGTAGACGGGGATCACTTTGGTGCAGAGACTGGGATCAAAGCTGAAGGGCTCCTGCCCCGCTGTGAGACAAGTGGCAGGCGCTTGCTTTTAGTGAAAACATGTAGAAACTTTACCCGCTATGGGGCAGGAGAACGTAGAATGTAGGGACTTGGCAGTGACGAGAGCTGTCCTGTGGTGAAGGAGACACAAAAATCCAGCGCGTGCCGGACGTGCCGTGCAACTCGGATACCTGCAACAGTAATATCTCAACAACCAATGTCTTGCATGTGGCAAAATCAATCATTGCGGTAGTATAGCCCTGGCTATATGCTGTGCAGAACTTTGTGTATTTTCCCAGCTGGCTGCCCCGACCCTATCAGCGATTTCCATCTTTGGCCGAGGCGGGTCCAGTGCATCCACTTCACTCTCCTGGAAGCAGGATTTGCGAAGGTGGAAGAGTCTGTGACCATGAAGCCATGAAGCGAACAGATCGAAATTGATGAACACCATGTCATCTGCCCGCCATCTGCTCTCCTGAAAGTGCACGATGGAGTTCTTCGAGTTCATCTTCAGCTGCAGCCCGATTCTCCCAGGTGTCTTTGCCAAGTCCAAGGCTTTGGCTTCGCCATTCCAATGCACAGGGAAGCTGTCAGACTTCACCTTGGCAGTCCATGCTCAAGTCAAGGCAACAAGGCCCTGCAAATGTGGACAAGAATGTCATTTTAGACATGTGACATGCAAAATATGCTGGAAACGTATGATATACTAGCATTATTATACTAGTATATTATCTACCTAATTCTTCCTAATATACCAGCACATTGCATGTATCGATGTGTCTCATAGCAACTAGCTATCCATTTCAGCACCTCAAAGGCCGACAGGTCCAGCTCATTGCCGCGGAAGAGGAGGTGGCAGGCAGCATTCGACACCAAGGCAGCCTCAAGATTCTGCACCTGGCAAAAGTGGCAACCCACTCTTGAAATCACATGAAATCACTATGTCTTCCTCAAACAGACTACTATGATATACACGTGTAGTCACGTGTATCTACATATGTATATAGATCAAAAATACATGTGTGTGTACATGTGTGTGTGTGTGTCTGTGGGTGTGCTGTATGTATCCAGCGATGTTGATGCTATCCATATATATATCCATATCAATAATGGTCATATATAAATATATATAATTCAAGATTATCTGAGAAGGCATCAAATGAAGGACCCGTGTTTCCTTTCTGGCTTCACCCCACATCCGAGCCCTTCCATGCCACCCTACCAGCTGAGATTTTTTTGGCCGCCTGACTCTTGATCTTCCGCAATGAGTACATCACAGAGCCACCCTTGAATTCGATGGTGGACTTGTAGAGGAACATGGTGTAGAACCAATCTTCAGATCTTTCCGGAAACATGGCCTAACAGTCTAACAAAGAACAACCAAAGAATCCCTTGAAACAAGTTGATCCTGAGAGTTCGTCAAGGCTCTGAATGAGATACAGTTAGAGAATGCGACACAGCCTGGCCTTTTCATAAGCTTTGTGAGTTTCCACATGTGGGCGCAAGAAGCTGACCAAGATCAACTTCTTCGCTCCCAGGAGCAGGTTCCACAGGCCTTCCAAACAGTGAAGCAGCGAAGCTTTTTTTCACCGAAGCTCCATTTGCTTCTCCTGCCTGCTCGCCCATCATCAGTCAGCTGTGAAGTCAATGGCCAATATTTGCCAAAGACATCACCCACAAACCTGATTTTCCAGATATTCCAGGACCAAGAAGGTCCAAGTTTCATGGCAGAGTCCCGCCATGAGTAATTCAATGGACTGAAACATACTGAAACAGAGCTAGCAAGCCGAAACCAAGCGGCCCAGCACCAATTCGCAGCATGTTGCGGTAAAAGGGCATATTCAAGAAGTTTGCCAGACTCCCACCAATCTTCTTGAACTGCTCCGCTGCCTGAGGTTTTTGCGTGTCCAGATTGGCGGGAAGGTTTGGGACGTGGAAAGATGCGGGAAGCGTTCTGGCGCATGGCCAAGCCTTAACCCCCAAAGGGCCGGTCTCTTCAGCCAGGACTTGTGCTGCTAGCGCCTCTTGGAAACTCAGGTGCCTTCGCCGGGACGTGCCAGGCCCGTTCAACAAGTGAAGAAAATCCTGATTTCCATTCAATTCCTAGTTGCCCTGCAATGTGACTGGAACTTCGCCACACACAACACGTGGTCATGTCATATCATGTCATTTTCGTTAGTTTAGGTCAGAAGTGATGAGGTCAGAAGTGAAGTTGACTCTCGCAGAGCACGCCTGAACTGATACTCTGCATCTTCGCCGTCAGCCAGAATCTTCACGAAGGGCACATCACCCTGCTCAACAAATTTGGTCCAAATGGGTAAGAACTCCTGTTTCTGGGCCAAGGCCGTCTCCACATCTTTCTGGGTGAAGATGCGCTTCCTTGGGGGGGGTCTCGGCAAAGCGGCATGCTGCAAGAGCCAATGGCAGCCATTGGCACAGCTACTGGCAATGCCAGGACTCTGCCAAGTTTCTGATTCTGCTGGTTGTGCAGCGCCACCAACTGCATGAGTTGCCACATTTGATCCTTGCGGTCCTCTTCTAACTCGCCCAGCTGACTTTCCAAGATGTTTTGGAGACCCATGTCCTTGGAAAACTTCAAGATATGTTTCATTTTGGTTCTAAGACTATGGGGAACTCTGGCAGCCAAGTTGCATACAGCTTGAAAAGGCTCGAAGGCATCTGGTTTGAGTGCATCAAGGCCATAGTCATCACTGATAGAAGGACTGGAACTTCTGAGATTTCCTGCAAACGGAGCACATTTCCATGAGGGAACTGTAGCTGGTCAGGTTCCAAACAGGATAGCAGATTCAAGAGTCGTATCAGACATCATCAGACATCAAATCACTATCAGATCACTGGCTCCTTGAACAGCTGCATCCGCTCTTCCAGCATGAAGTTCAAGCCTTGGTCAGGCGTAGCCGCTTAGCCGGCGCGGCCCACCTCCTGGGCCCTGTTTGTCATGAAAGGGGCTGTGGCTGGCTGCCCTGTGGCAGGCAAGTGGCTGGCTTCCATCGCTTTGCCGTACTGATTCGCAAGCTCCCTTCGAAAGAAGTCATAGTAATCATGGGCATGACTGACCTCGCATGGCATGGTCACGCGGAGTAAGCACCAGCAAGAGAATAATAAGGACGCAAATCATTCTTGCATCAAAGCGGCATCGTTGTACTCGAGGATCATCTTATGATGGACTTGCAACTCAACAAAATGAAAGTGTTCGTTGCAGTACAGCTGCAAGTTCAGCAGCACATTCCGGAATCTTGAAGGATCGCTGTCCTTGCTGGAAAACTTGTTTTTGACCCGTGCCACATTCAACTTGATCTTCTGGCCATCAATCTCTGTTTGATAGCCGTCATCGATCTTCTTCAAGAAGGTTTTCATCTGGGTACCACTGCTGCATACCAAGCGGGCACGGATCACATCTACCACGTTGACTTCAGGGAGGAAAGTAGGAAAGCGATCTGCATAGTCATCAGCAGCCTCATCCAGGCAACTATCCATTGCCCGAGCACTTCTAGCGATTCTAGCGGTTTTGGTCACGGACATTTTGCCACCAAAACATATATTTATGATAAATTATGTGTTTATTCATTTTTTATGTATTTTTTGAAATGATTTAATTGTGTTTATATATTATATATTTTAAAAAAAAAGAAAACCTTTTTTATTTATGTATTTACCGTATTTATGTATCAGGGTTCAGATAAGGGGGGAGGAGTTGTGCAGATGGTTTTGGTAGATACAGAGTGGAATGCATAGGGTGCACAACTACAAAATGCAAGTGCATGTACTTTTTTTCAGCTACAAAATGAAGAACATAACTCTTTCTGGCTCGGAAAATAATTCAAAACCAGTACTACAAAATCCAATGCATCTGAAGTCAAAAAAATAGCTGAACGTCGGAATTTCTAACATGATTTTTCCCAATGACATTTTGTAGTTGGGTCTTTGCCATCCAAAGTTCCGACCAACATAAATTCGGAGAACATTTTGTAGTTGTCAATGATTGAATTTAGTTGGATCAAGTGTTGACCCCGTGCAGTTTGTTAGATGGCATTCTGTAGCTTCATGATCTGTTTGTTGGATGCTTCAACTATTCAACTTGTACAACTACAAAATGCTAATGAAATTTTATGTTGGATGCTTCAACTAACTCAACATATACAACTACAAAATGAAAATGCATGATTTGAAAGGAATCAACTACAAAATGATTCCAAATACAAAATGGGGGGGCCGGGCACAACCCCTCATGTTTGTACAAAAAAATGCTGGCTGGCAATCTGTACTGTAGCCCAAGTCCTCCCCATTTCGTAGCTGAAATTTGAAGGTGGATATTTATGTATTCATTTATTCATATATATTTTATATGATGTGTGTGTGTGTGCGTGTCATTCTCTCTCTCTCTCTCTCTATCTCTGTGTATTCCTTTTCCTTTACTTTTAAGGTGGTAGAATGGTAGAATTGGGTATGGCCCCCCCTATACAGCAGGTAACTCCCCCATGCTCCTTGAAAGCTTGTCCAAACCCCTGCAGTTTGGCCAACAGCCCCCACCTTCTCCGTCACACGAACAGGGTCTTTCAGCGGACCCAGGACCAGGTCGTACGACATCTCCTTTCGAAGCAACTTGCAGCCGCTAAAACAACTTCAAATGTCTTCTGAGATTTGCACTGCTCAATCAACACTGCACCATACACCAACCCGCGCTTCCGCAGAAATCTGAGCTCCTGAGAATTATCCTGCGACTCTTTGATCAACTGGTTCTGCACATCTTGGCACAGTGCCTGGCTCGTTTGTACGGAAAGGGACCAGAAATTCTCACAGCTAGGTGTTATCCTATCATCACAACATATCATAACATCCAACTGAGAAATTCTTATATATATAAATATATTATAAATATACATAATTTGATCGCAGTTTCACCCGGCAGCCACCTTCACAGTCTTCTCGAACACTGGCTTGAAGTGCTCAGCCACCGTCAGCAACTGGTCTGTGCCCGACATGACCTGACGGCAGCAAAAATGCCGAAGATGCCGAAGAGAGCACCATTTCTCTCACCGCTCTCCCCCAAGGATTGAAAGCATTTCAAAGTTACCAGGAATCTTAAAACATCTTAAAACAATCCAACCCAAACAGTGGAAACAGAAACAGGCCGCTGCCTTTGACCACAATTCTCGGTGCTTCTTTTCCTTTTTCTTCTCAGCCAATTCGTAGAGTTTTTCGGCCAAGGATGGACCGTTATGGAAGGCATCTGTTCCTGGGAACTTCTCCTGCGAAGACGACAGGTCAAAGCTTGAAATCTGCCACCTCGAAAACATCGAAGTATGGTACTCCATGCTACTCCATGGTACTCAACTTTGCAAGTAGCAATTGATCTGGATATGGGTTTTAAATGGTTTTATAGTAACATATATATATATATATAATACTGTAAATAGTCAAAATGTTGGAACCGCAAAAGGTTGGATGCACACTTCGATGAACTATGACTTACGATGCGTCTCCTTCACCGCTTTCTGCAGTTCTGCGGTTTTCTTCTCCTCTGCTAGCATTGTGTCCATCAAACCTGAAGCACTGAAGCACCAAATCCGCATGGTTTTGCGGAGCTGAAAGAGTAACTGAAAAACGCATAAAAACGCTATATATTTGATGAAAATGTCCTGGAATGCCCCAGAGATACTCCAAACTCATGCAAGCTCGGGGGGATTTCATTCAGAGGCATCTGTTCTGAGTGTGTGCTTTGTCATCTACATTACCTCATGGGCTTCTACATCTTCTACATTGCATTAACCTTCCTGAGTCGAGCTGCCAAAGAGATCGTCTGTGAAGTACGCACTGGCAGCCTTCAAGTACTCTGATGTCGGCTCTTTGCCTCCAACATGAACCAAACTCTGAAAGGATTTGGATTGGAAGATGCCTTTTGTCAGGGAACAAGCTTTACCCCGGATCAAGTGGAAAAAGCAAATACTACTACTACGACGACTACTACGACGACTACTACTACGACTACGACTACGACTATGACTACGCACTGCAACGCGGTGTCGGTTGCTTACAAACTTTCTCTCTTCTCCGATGGTTTCACAACACACAAGGGTGGCAGCGTGCCCAGCGGATCCCAGCGGCCTATGCCTGTGGCTTCAAGAACCTTCCCTTCCAAGGTGTGCTGTACCATGGTTGGGTCCCATTTTTCTGGTTCTCCGGCCCGTTCTCTTCTCCTGAGTCCCACCATGAACGCAGCCATGCATGGACTGAAGGTGTGAAATCTGCTGGGTTACAAAACTGTGCGCAAACTGTGCGCAACAAACCAGTTCGTTCACTGAACATGTGCCAGCACGATGACCCATGACTTCCGACATGCGCAAAGTCCTCATGCCAAGTCATCCCATGTGCAGCAGAGTTTCTTGAAACGATTCGTTGCAGGCAGCTGTTTCTCCATGTAACGCCGATCCTTGGGATTTGCGAAGGCTTCATTGAAGTAGATCTTGTCGTGCGTGGCACGGATCTCCTTGGTTTTGACTGAATGATGGTGGCATGATGGGATGATAGTGACACATTAGAATGAGATAAGATGGGATACTGTAAGCACGTTTCTTTACCACTCACCAGTTCGACTCTTGTTTTGACCATCTCAACCGCGTCTTGGCCGTTCTCTGTCTTCAAATCGTTTGATGTTGCTCACGGTCAGCGTACTGTAGCTCCATGTTGTTTGTATTCATACTGCCCTTGCGACTCCAACAGCCGTCAGATCTGGTCCAAGCATCAGCAAATTTCATCAGTTTCTCAAAGAATTCGTTGCCTTCACTCTTCACCTGGTTCAAGATGATCTGTTTCTGCTGCTCATCGGATAAGGGCTTCAGCGACATAATCGCGAAGGATTGCTTCAGTGTGCCCAAGTCAGCACTCACGCCCTCCGGACGGGAAGTCAGCACGAGCGAGATTTGCATAGGAACCAATCGTCTCATGATGTAGCTCTGGAGAACTCCCTTCACATCAGACGCTTCGTCGATACCGTCTAGGATGACCTTGTTCTACCAAGAGTGCACCAATGTACGAAGAAATGTCACTGTTTCAGCTGGTTGCATCAGCACCATGCATCAGAAGGGTTGCCGATCATCAGGATCGTTACCATCATCATCACCACCATCATCACCACGACCATCACCATCACTCATCATGTTCTTCTTTTTTCTCCTTCTTCATCTATCACTAAGATTACTCAGAAATCATAATCCACAGATCATCCACAGATCATGGGGAAAAAAAGACATCCCAACCCCATATCCCAACCATATCCCGCCGAGACACCACGGCACTTCGCAGCCGCAAGGCCCGGACCAGGACATCGCCATAGGCGTCGCCGTACCTGGGCTGCGCAAGCGGCTGGGTGATGGTGGGTGAATGATGCAGCGTTAAAAGTATGTGTATATTATATATATATAGATATCTGCGTGTGTATATGTGATATCTATCTAATCTAATCTTAGCTAATCTTATCTTACAAGTATCTTATCTTATCTACGCCGATTTTTTTCTGGGAAAGATGATTGTAGTTTAAAATCCATGACTAAAGGTGTATCACAATGAATTCTAAACGATTCTAACCCATTCCATGACTAAAGGTGTATCACAATGAATTCTAAACGATTCTAACCCATTCGAATACATTGCGGGATTATAATTTCTTTTGTGGGATGTTATCAACATGATACATCCAATTTGGGAATCTCTATCCACCTCCGAGTACCAGGCATAGAGTGCCAGAAACTGCTCATTGGAGGATCTCAAGACCTCCCACCTAGCAAGGCTTCTTATTTTTCACTCGACGGCCAACGAGGTCGGACTGCTCCACCTAAATTGGAACCTCACAATGAAAAAAACGGAAAATGCAGAAACGCAGGTGCTCGGTCTTGAAAGCATTCTCCAACCACGGCTTGTCCAGGATCGCATTTTGAGCCTCAAAATCACATTGGTCAACTACAAAAACCATTCAAATCCGCCGGCTGCTGGTGTCTTAGGCCATGAACAGCCAAACCCGTGCAAACTTTGATAGTAAATAGTAGTGAATGAAGGTAAATAAATAAGTAAATAAACAAAATATTACAGTACATACATATGATTTCAGAAAGTAAACCGGGCCGAAAGTGGGCTTTAGTCAAGCAACCGACAAAGGCAGATTGTGATAGTTGACATCACTAATTCCATCCTTGCGCATCATGCCTGCAGCAAGACTTGGTTCCAGTCAACATCAACTCTGCATGGCTCCGCAATCCCCGGTAAGAATACTATCGCGACCAATCAAAGTTCTGGGTCAGCCTGCCAACTTTTGCGCAAAGATCAGCGCTGGCATCTTCACTATCCCAGTAGTAACAGTATTCTCCGCGCACGCCTGGCTCAGTGGCATCAACAAAATCTGGAGCGGCAAAGCGATATGTGCCTATTGTGCTTTAGCCACACCACAGAATTTTGGATGTGAGCTGCAGGGACTATATTAATATTGTTTCAATGTCAATAGCGGAAACCCTTGCCGCAATGGCCTTACTCAAGTGGTACATCAGCTGGCAAGAAGACCAAGTTTTGCCGGTGCCAGGCCCTGCAATCATCAGGCACCTGTACTGTACGGGCATCCAGATCTACGCTGGCGACATATCGCGAAACCACCCGCTGCACGTGCCAATACACTAATAATCAGCTGCTTATATACTATAAGAACAGATAAGCACAGGAGATATTGGTAGATAAGAGTCTACAGTCTACAGAGAAGACCATCTCTTGAATAGAAGCCGTGTACCTCTTAGAAGACTCTTCCTTGATCATGCTGAATCATGCCTGAAGATGAGTTGCTGCCCCTTGAAGCGCTCACCATCAGAATCCAGCAGCAAGGCCGCCAGACTTTTGATGTCCGGTGTAGGGCGGGTGGCATTTTCCACCTGCAACCGGTCACCATGAAAGGCGAAAGCTGCTAGGCCTGCCAAGCTGCCAGCGTCCCTCTACAGTATCACAGTGCCAAGCAACTGCTGTGTCGATGTAGATGACTTGCGTCTCAACGTCCATCTTTTGGCAGGTGATACTGTCCTTACAGCTGAGCACTCAGCTTAGGATGCTAAGGGTCACATCAGGACACTGGCAGTGCTGCAACCGAGGCGCTTCAAGGTAACGGAAGCGATCCCGCTGAGTCTCGCAGTATGTCTGGTAGGCCTTCACATCCAACTCCGCCAGGTGGCCCTCCACGTGATTCGCCTCATTCAGCTGGACGAGCTGCTCCTTCTCGCCTGCGCCGTGGCAGGGCTTTTGCTAGGGCAAGGACCCCCCAGGCCACAAAAGTGCTGTCATCTCATGCCAAGACCTGTCGCAATGCTTAAGCATTCTTAACAGAAAGCTTGCCAAAAAAAAAAACATCTTCTAGAAGTATCGAAAAATTGGCAGCAAATGCCAGACCTTTATCGTCTGGAAAGCGAAGCGCAAAGGTGTTCCACTTCTCTCTGCGGCTCACCGTTGCATTGACCAGTCGACCATCTTCAAGTAGAATCGTCAGGCTGGTCCCGCCTAGATGTCACACATCAGTCGCTAGGATGACCAACCCGTCTCTCCAACTGAACTTTGAGAATGGGTTGAAATAGTCATAGTTGCGAATTCACAAGGCTGATCTGAAGATGACGGATCCTCCTCGCCTTCATACTCCAGCTGTGGCAGTTGAATTGCCTGGTTCCATGCTGAAGGTTGTCAGCTGACAGTGGTACCCATTGAAAAATGATAAATCAAACACATGACTTGCGTTGGAATTTGGAAACTCAAGAAAAGTTCAGTGAAACAGCCTTTCCCATGCGGGCATCCATGTCAACCTCTTCGTCAAAGTTGTCGATCTTCACCTAAGATCCAGCGCTCTTTTCGTGAGAAACGTTATCGGCACCATCCTTGGTGGGCAAACCTGACGCACCACCAAGGCACACGATATTTACATGTCTTCTCCGAGAAAGCGATAGTACAGCCACACCTGGGACGCAATGGATTGTACCCGTACCACCCTGGAAGCTGCAACACTTACAGCGGTACAGCACACCTGTCGATGCAGTCTTTTCCCAAGGCATTCCTTGGCAGTGTGATCCACTTGGAGCACTTGGGTGGCCAGTCTAAGTCTGACCACGACTTTCAAGTCATTCATGCTCAGTCATTTTCATTAAGGATGATGACTTGAAAAACGGATAAAAACGGTTCTCTTTGATGTATATGGGGCAAGGTGTAGTGGGAGTCAACATGTCGTAGATACGGGGAGAGAAAAAAAGGCCATTTACTTTGCCATCTTTGAGGGGGTACGGCATTTACTTCACACACCATGTTGGCCGCCAAGCGTCTGCTTCAACAGTCCAAAGCGAGCCCCTGCTCGGCACTTGAAGGCTTGGTCCATGCATTTCACCTTGACTCTTGGCCGCTTCAAGGGCACCTGCCGCAGGAACTTGGCAAACTGAATGGCAACACAAAAGTCTCTCCTAGCAATGGATTATACATAATATATATATATATATATTAGCTAAACTCAAAAACTCGCTGCCGTGGATATGTTGAAAACCGCACGAAGAGTTAGCGGGGGGGCGAACGTAGGGGCGAACATGCGGGCGAACGGGTGGACGAACGTCGCCCGCACGAGCGAGCGGGGGGGCGAGCGGGGGGGCGAGCGGACGGGCGAACGATTCGACTAGTCTTGTTTTGCCTGGTGATAATTAGTACAGTCAACCTGTGCCGAAATTATTTTACACCTACTTATACAACCCAAGAATACTGGTACAAAGTTGTTGGTATTCGAAACCCGTGCAATTTTGAGGGCGGGCCCACCCCCTTGAGGGCGCATTAAGGGGTCGCACGAAGGGGTCGCACATACGCATGTACGCACGTACGTACGCATGCACGCACGCACGTTCATGTGCATGTACGCACGCACGTTCACATGCATGTTCAGAAATAAGGTTACCTTTAAGGTTACCTTTTATATAAAAGGTAACCTTATTTCTGTACGACCCTAAGCCTCCTAAAGCATATTTAGTATTAGGAGGTCACTTTTCAAAGGTAACCTTATTTCTGAACATGGGTCTGAACATGGGCTTGAACATGGGTCTGAACATGGTACCTACGTACGTGCATACGTGCGAACGTACGTGCGTACGTCTGTGCGTACGTATGTGCGTACGTGTGTGCATGTGTGCGTTCGCCCCCCCGTTCGCCCCCCGGTTCGTCCCCCCGTTCGCCCCCCCGTTCCCCCCCCGTTCGCCCGCCGTACCCTCGCTCAGATGGCCGTACGCCCCCCCACGTTCAATACGTCTAAATAACTTCAAAAACAGGCCGCAGCGACCTTTTGGGTTTAGCTAATATATATATATATATGTGTGTGTGTGTGTGCAGTTATACATATACATAAGGGTACAGTACTACCTCGATTTCGGCCCATGGCGCCGTATCAAAACGAGAGCTGCCAATCCCATAAGCAAACGGTTTTAAGTCCAAAATCCAAAGGAAAGTCACCGACAGACCTTCGCAACATCCACAAGCAGGGCAGGTCGGGGACCACCACGCCGCTTCCCGGTGAGAGCGACCATCTCCTTCACGATGGCACTCACACAGGCCACCTTGAGAAAGGCTAGTCGCGGATAGTCACTGTTTGAAAATGAGGACATAAAAGAAACGTGGAAAACCAGTGGTAAACCCAATGCCATAAACAAATAGCCTTCGGGGTGATTCTTACCCATCTATGGGTAAGTCATTGGGGATGGCTTATTATTAAGTGTGCCACATTAAAACAGAACCTCGTTTGTGACCTGACGCCAAGTGTAAAAGACTGCATCTATAGCAAGCCCGCACCTCCAGCATGTTGTGCCCTGCATCCAGAGCTTTCCATAAGCCTGGAATGTCACACCATCCGGCAGGAGATATACGCTTCACTATCGTATCTTTCTTTGTTTCCTGTGGCAGCCGCAGGAAAAAAGCAGACATGCAGCAAACATGCATGATCATGCATAGTATGACAGGATCGTCATGGATCATTTATCAAAAAATGTTAAAAATCCGGTACATTGCGGATCGAGAAAGAGATTGGTCCAGCATGCACACGGTGCAAATCAATCGCCAGTATTCGCCAGTCCTCTTCCACCATGTCCCGAACTGCAGGTGCGGGCAATGCGCGAAAGGGTGCCACAAGACGCCCCTTGCGGGTGCAACAAGTCGATGCAGCTTTCTCATCCAGAGCTGGCTCACCGTAGGACCAGTGAATACGACCTGACGTAGATGCAAGACTCACAAGGCTCAACACGCGCAATAACTCGCAACACCTCTCAGTTTCAAAGTCCATGGCATTTCATGCCATTTCATGTCACTTCATGTCCCATTCTCGAGCTGCACCTGTCACTTCATCTTCCCAAACTTCTTTCACAGGCACGGGTTTGCCTCTCTGCTGATGTAGGTCACCCACCTGTGACTATGTATATAAACTGGTAAACCCACAGTCGTGTCGTCATCAAGGTGAAAAATCCCTGCTAGAAACTATACTGATCTACAATGTGTCAGTTCAAGTCATTTTAGGCAAGGCCAGAACGCCAAAAGTCTGGCATTGCTTGGCATCGCTGGCTGCCTCCGGTGGAAAGAAGTCTCCAGACTTCAAAATGTTGACAATCTCGCGATCTGTTGGCCGCCGCACAAACCTGCGGTTTCAGCCAAGTGAGGCTATGGCAGCAATGGTGGGTGGCTATGGCACATGTTCAAGGAACCACCGAGCCGGCCTGAGATTCGACAGAGTCACATGACCTTGGAGGACAGCCCCTGTTCTCAACTGGAACCCTTATGGTAACTATTGGGCTACTGGTTGTGGGTACATGGCACTGCCATGTACAAAATAGTTCACATCTCTTGACACCGGTGATTGCTGCTAACTTGCCAAATAGCCACCTCGTGTTTGAGCGTTTGACTATTTTTCCGGGCACTGTAAGACACAGGGAGGATCTGTCAAGTAACCAACTCTGCTAGGCTCTTTGTCAATGGGATCTCTGAAGGACTCCCTCTCCGACACCACCTCCGTTTCACCAGCAAACAAAAAACACAATACCGCCGACCAAGCTGAAAGAATGCAAAGGCATGATGCATAGGGAAAGCACGCATGCACATCCCGTTCACATACCGGATTTGACAATCATGGGATGGGTTCCAAGCGGGCAAAACAGTTTTAAACATCCCCTGTGTCAGGAAGGCTATTTACACCAAACAGTATAGGACTTCGCAAGGCATAACACAGGTCTGGCCTTGCATACGAAGGTCTCCAAATTGAGACTAGTGAGCACCAATGGTTCTTGATACCCTCTCTCTTGTGTTTTCATCGACACCAAATCAAACCTGCCGAGCTCTCCGGAAATCATGAGAAATCTGAAATCTTTAACGAGCTCCACTCGCCGACTCAAACAACGTCAAGAGCAACCATAGCAGCCATAGAGTAGCAGCATGTAGCAGCCATGGCAAAGCTCTCCTAGCAAATTTCAGAAACAGCCACCCCGCGCAGCCTCTTTATGACCGAGACCAACTGTCCAACCTTTTCAGTTTCAGGACTCACCAAGTGAAGGTCACCCAGCATGCACCGCTCAACCTTGGAGACGGACCTCAGCTGAGTGGATCTGTAGATTCTGTAGATCTGTTTATGCAACATCAATGGGCTGGAAAATTTGCAAATGAAACTTACCCCATGATTTCTACCCCCAGAAAATCGATGGGGTCCGTGTGATGTTTGCTTTCAATCGAGTCTGGCAGAATCTCGCTGGTATCCACTGCCCCCTCGAATCAAGTCACCGGAAAGCCGCATCAACCAGACATGACAGCCATATGACAGCTGCCCAACTTTCAAGGCAGCTAAGGGCAGCTAAGCAGCTCATCCAACTCGAACTTGAAGACTGGTGCTGTCTGATTCTCTGAACTGTCCCCGTCCCAGTAGCTCTTGATCAATGATGACAGGGCTTCCAGCTCATCGGCCTGACACCATGGGAAGCCTATGGGAAGTCTATGGGAAGCCTACAGGAATGTGGTTCCCATTGGGAGTCCCATGCATTGAGGGTCCTAATGAAATGCCACAGACTTACTGGAGATCATCTACAATCAACCTAAAGAATGATGTAATCATGTAAAAAGTGCACGCTGGATGTTTGACTGACCATTCTGGATTTGTGATGGAATCTGGACAGTAGAGTGGACCTGTTTGCAAAAGGCACCACCAAGCTGCTCTGTCGCCCAAGCTCATCTCGGCCTTCAATGCTTTTACCTTCTGCTCTGTCGCGGGCACCGGCTTGGAATCCTCTTCCTCCTCCTCATGGTCCAAGTCAGAGGCCATGCAGTTTAAAATATGTTTGGGTACGACCATGTCATGGCTGGGGCGAGGGCCCAGCTGTGATCGGAAGTCTTGGCTTGGATTCATAATTTTCAAATCTGAGTCCAGAGGGAACTCAGCGATTCCGCCACGGCCCATGGCGCTCCTCATATTCACTATCACTATCCTCGACGAAAAGGGCAGATCTTCTCCCATAGACTGCGGAGGCAAATGGAAGGGCACTCACCTCAATTCAGTCACAGAAGAGGGACCAAGGAACAGGCCTAGATACCCCTGCTGGTCGAACAGTATCAAACTCAGTATGAGCCAAGGATCTCCTCGTGCACCAGTCGAAGGGCCAAAGTCCAATCTCAAACCCGAATAGCCGCTGCTTCCGAAACTGAAGGTCAAAATTCCACTGGTTGGAACCTTCTTGAAAACCATGGTCCCTTCCATCTTCGAAGGTCCAGATTCTCCTCTATCCTCGTTCACCTTTAAATACACTGGCCTCTCTGGGCGGGAGCGCTTTTTCTTGCCGTCCCACGTTAGCTTGCTCGCCTCCGGCTTCCTCAAAGCAGGAACATGGAGTTGCTGCACCCATCAATCATAAAGCCACAGGTTGAAATCACGTGCACTCCTTACAACTCGGGGACTCCATGACTGCAATGTATGCTCTATAAACCAAGCGTCTGTAAGCCTCCGCGTGATCCGTCACCTTCGACAAGGAAGTCCAACTCAATCGAGTCAGTCCCAATCTGCCGCACCTTCCATGCAGGTTCTCGTGGTTAGGCGTAGTTAGATGGTGACACACGAGTGAACCACCCGCACCAACTCCTCCAGCGGGCCTCTGTGACCGTACAAAAGTACTGATCGCTGTGCCGGCTGACACCAGGCGACTCCAACTTCCACTTGGTATCTTTGGCCACCTCCCGGAACTATTTTTGACTCCAGGGCCCATCACAAAGACCCCACCAGTGTGCACAAACACAATACTGTACATCCTGTAGCTAATACCTTTACTGCACCTTTCTGTACCTTACTGTAACGTGCCTTTTTTAATTACACTCGGCCTGTAGTGCCTTTGGCTTTTCACTTTTGTGGCGCGCCATCAACACTCTCTGCCGCTCTTGCCAGCTGATTTTAGCATCAGAATCCAGCTTCAGCCACAGCTGGGAAGCACTGGTGGCAATGTCAAAGAAGCTCGTCATTGTGTTGCTCTCCATCATCGCCTCTGGTGCGGTTTGAAATCATTGGGATATATTGGAATGATAGTCCTTGAGCTTGAACACAAGTCAGTGGAATCCCAGCTGCATTTCTATGAACTGCATGTGAGGTGGTCTGTGGAGTGTATTTTGTTGCTTGAGTCAGAGTCGAAAGGAATCTGAAGACCCTGCCCTGTACCCCGCCCAAATCCGGACCCCGTGCGGCTCGCACTCCTTCTTTTGCTCTTGAAGGAAAGTCCCAAAGCCAGTTGGTCCACAGAGTTCCCTGGGGGTCAAAGGTTTTCTGCGCTCCAGGAAGTGATCGATCTCATTCTGGAACTCCTCCTGACCCAAGCCGCACACACGGGGCACCTTGACAACTATCCCCTGCCGTTCAACATGTTCAGCCTTGACTGAAAATAATCTACCATCTGCTTGGTCCATTCTGAGTGGATCTGATTCACCTTGTTGTGTTCATCGTGAAAATCTGTCATTGGCCATTGGCCAACTAAAAATCCTCGAAAGCCAACCCTGAACATCAGCAACCCACCCCAAAACATCAGCGTCGCAGCGATGCACATCAACCCACCGTGGCACCGCGTAGAGACGTACAACTTTTGACACGTATCTAGAAAAGTCCCAGCAGCATCAAGGGATGCCAAAATGATGTGATAATGTGTGATAACCCAAGGTTATTGGTTCACACCGGTTCCTGCTAGCAACCACGCAGAAAAGCTGTCCTTCATCCTTTTCGTGATGCGGGAAGGCACTGCAGCACCTACTGATTGAGATGACTCCTGGGCAGAGGTGCGGTCAAAGCTTTCAAACCTTGAAGGGGCACTTGGACCCGCTATATAGTTCACTACAATCCTAGCTGAATGTCCCAAGGTTTTGTTCTGGTTTTCAACTCACCACATGTTCAACGCATTCTAAGTCTGCCAAGTGCTCCTGTACAATGCCCAGTGGCCAGGTGAAAACAGCATGGAAAGACCGGAGCACGCAGAATTATCCCAAACAACCAACAACAATCCTTCAAGTGAGCTCTGGGTGCTCAACCCACACCGCTCCTTTCCGCCTTACCGATGAACTAGTTCAAGATATATAATTACATCTAATCCAACTACTGCTTCTTCATATATTCACATTGAACTCACAGCTGAGATTTTCCGCCGACTTCTCCTTTAGAGCGTACTGCCGCTGCAGTTCCTGCCTCAAGCGTTCCACTTCTGCCTACATGCATTGAAGCTGCAGTATGGCCAGTGCACACAGGTCATGCAAAATTGTTGAAAAACATGCAACTATTGAACATTTGATCGTGGAAGTCCAACACCCCCGATTTGCTGGTCCGGCGACTGGTTGATGCTTTCAACCCCTCGTCAGTGGCACACAGAGTGGTTTCTTTTTTGAGCATGTCCGAAGCCTTCATCTCTTCTAACTCTGCACTTTTTAGTATCTCCACCTGAACGGACAGCCTAGTCTCAGCAGTCTCCTCCACACGCCAATCTGTACTTCTGCACTTTGTGACTCTGGGCCAAAAAGAACAAAATTGAAGTGCAGTCCAGCAGTCCAGTCCTCTTTCGCTGCATCGCTCTGCGGGGTCGCACTTGGCGAGGTAGAGGGTGGCGTCAGCAATTTGGAGGAAGTTGGGGATGGCAGCGTAGTTGAAGCAGACCCAGATGCTTCAAGCAAGTGATCTGAAGAAGGCATCACCAACCAACATCAGGTTTCAAGCAAAACAAGGACCAACCATTGCAAAGCTATGAGATGTGTGACCAACCAACCCAAAACCCACGATATACTTGACTGCCAAGATTCCACGACGAGCAAAAATTCCGTGCATTGCCGGGCATGAAAAGTAAGAAACGCCTTTCACGGTGCCATCCTTGGTGAGACCAGTCTGTCTTTGTGCTGCTGCCAGTCTTTCTTGTGAGCAATCATCAGTTTGGGGACAAGAATTGATGTTGGAATCCGGGCTGGCAAGAAAAACGTTGAAAACGTTGACTCATGTTGACTCTAGATTCTTCATAATTAGTGACCATTGAAATCCCCAAATATCGAACACCAGGACAGTTAAGCCTCAAACAGCATGGAAGTGTTGCCATTGAAGAGTTTCCAGCGAAAGCCCAAGGTCAAACCAAAGGCTCAAAGAAACCTGGTGGCCTGCTAACACAATGTGATAGGTGCCCCCCCCGCCCCCCAAAAAATATTATATTATATATATATATTATATTATATTATATTATATTATATTATATTATACTATACTATATTATATTATATTATAATATAATATATTATATTATATTAGATTAGATTATATTAAATTATATTATATTATATTACATTATATTATATTATATTATATTGTATATATTTTATATATTATATATATTGTATATATAATATATATAATATATACAATATAATATAATATATATAATATATATAATATATATATTATATATATTATATATATTATAGATATTATATATTATATATATATTATATATATTATATATATTATATATATATTATAGATATTATAGATATTATAGATATTATAGATATTATAGATATTATATATATTATATATATTATATATATTATATATATTATATATATTATATATATTATATATTATATATATATTATAGATATTATAGCTATTATAGATATTATATATATTATATATATTATATATATTATAGATATTATATATTATATATATATTATATATATTATATATATTATATATATATTATATATTATATATATTATATATATTATATATATTATATATATTATATATATTATATATTTTATATATTTTATATATTATATATTGCATAATATATATATGTATATTATATTATATTTTATATATATGATATATATAAATATATATATATAATGTAAGCCTTGTGCCAATTCTGAACGTGCTGCGGGGTTCGGGAGCACAACTCATGAACTGATGAAATTTGCTGCATGCCATGGTGGATATTAAGCTGAGGCTCATTTTTTCCCAGAGGTTTTTCCAGTTCTATTCCAAACCACTCACCTTCAGCGAACTTGGTGGTTCCAGCAAAGCGAATGATGCCCGCGGAATCCTGTGCTGGCCTCAAGTGCTGAAGATCTCAAATAAGTCCAGTGATGCAAACCTATTTTAGATACACAAAAATTTGATTCATATATTGCATCATTCAAACCACCAACGTTTGAACCCGAACAAGAATCATGTTCATTCCAATTATTGTTTCTGTGGGATTACATATGCTTTACTATTATACTCCTACGCATGGCATTTGCGCGACGCGCCTTACCAGAACATGATCTCCGACCTTGAAGTTCAATGCCTCATGTGATCATGACGGGATGAAGATCACAAACCCTCCTTCATCCCACGGGCACACCGTTCCGAAAGACATGTTCAACATGAACTTAACATGAACTTGACACGAACTTAAAATGAACTTTAACATGTCTGATCATCATTCTTGCAGCTAGACTGCGTTTTCAGGAGGAAGGACCTTCTGCTCTATTGGTAGCGCCTCCTCGGCAACGCTGCTTCACCACCAATGTGCCATCAAACTGTTCAACGTAAAATCTACGAAGAACATGTTTTCTGTCCTGAATCTTTTGCACTTTGGCGGCGCGAACGAACAGGCCGTGGTCGGGGCGGGCGGCAAAATAACTCACATTTTGTACCTACAACCAGCAGTACGGTGCAAATGTTCATCTGTCCAAAGCTATTGGTCGAACTGGCAACCTGCAAAAGCAGCAACAGAAAAAAAAATGTTTTGAGGAGCACAGTGCCATTGTTCTTCCCTTTCGGTTCATCCAGCTCCACACCCAGCCATGTGCCCTCAGCGAACTGAGTCGGCCCAACGAACAAAATGGTACCTGGCAATTCATGGCTATCTCAAGGTGCGTTTGATGCAACTGACTCAACTGACCTGCTAGAAACCGGGCAAACCCCTGCCTGGCAGTGGATCTTCACCTTCAACTGCCTTCACCAACACACGAGAATTGACTGTCAGGTCCGGAGGCACTGGGGCCAGCGACGGCCTCCTGGCAGCGCACAGGAAACCGGTATATCTGCTATATCTGCTATCTGACATGGACATTACTTCATTACTGCAAATGTGAACTATTTCGAAACCCTCTAGCATGTTGCACGCCACCAAGCCACGCTTTTGCTGCGGATTTGCGTGCCACTTTTTGCCCCCTGGTCGAGGTTCGCATTGCATTGGTTTTCTCACTTGCGAAAGGACCATGGAAAGGCCGTCATGTATGTAATAAACCCAAGAGTTTGCAAAAGTGTTTGTGATGGGTTGTTGTCATGCACAAATGGTCTCCCAAGACGTGCGTTATTTGGAACTGTTCTCGTAAAGTCGGGCATGTCCATTTTTGTAACGCATTGATTTTTCTTGACTTTGTTCTGTGTCTGGGCCACGAAACAAAAAGCAGCGCAACAGAAAACATCCATTGCAAATTTGAACGCGTCCACGGCAGCAGTAGTTTTAACAAAGTCTTCCATCGCATCGGAATCTAAACACACCCGATCCGTTGGGACATCCAGCAAAACCACCATCGCAAACGATTGGTCAAGGATGCATGTCACAAACAAATTGGACCCGCGTGAATTCGACGGGTTGGATTAAAAATGCAAGGCGTGCATCGAATCACTTGAAGTTCGTTTTTGATACATTCACTTCAAGAGCGTTTCGTCTACAATAACAAGGGGGAAATGAATAAAATATATTCAATTTTATCAACATTTGTTTCATGCAAGAAACACTCACATCATTATGTTCGCAATTTTGCACTGCGTGATAGCAGCACCGTGCTTCGTTTTTCATGACTTACACGCTGCGTTCCCGCAATTTCGGAAACGATAATCTATATAAAAATATTGAAAAAATTCCCCACAGGTGCTATCCCCAACAGCTTGAAAGCTTCTGCGATTTTGCCACAAAAGTCCTTACTTAGGCCGTATGCCATAAAAATCAAGCGCTTATGCCATAAAAATTCCGTGTTTATGCCAAAAAAACACCAGAACCCTTTGGAAATTCACAAAGCATCTGCACCAGAACACTCGGAACCTCAAGGTATCTGCACCGGAACCCTCCGGAACCTCACCAAGCATCTTCTCCGCCAAAACCCTCCGGAACCTAACAAGGTCTCTGCGCCGGAACCTTCCGGAACCTCGCAAGGTATCTGCCCCGGAACCCTCCGGAACCTCACCACGCATCTTCACCTAGACCCTCCGGAACCTCATCAGGTATCTGCATCAAAACCCTCTAGAACCTAACCAAGTATCTGCACCGTAACCTCCGGAAGCTCACCGAATACCTGCACCGGAAAGAACCTCACAAGGCATCTGCCCCGGACCCCTCCCGAACCTCACCATGCATCTTGATGTAAACCTTCCGGAACCTCATCAGGTAGCTGCACTGGAAATTTCCGGAACCTCACCAGATACCTGCACCAAAACCTTCTAGAACCTAACCAAGTATCTGCACCGTAACCTCCGTAACCTCACCAAATACCTGCAGCGGAAACTTCCGGAATTTCACAAGGTATCTGCACCGGAACCCTCCGGAACGGCACAAGGTACCTGCACCGGAACCCTCCGGAACTGCACAGAACCCTCCGGAGCCTCAGCAAGTATCTTCACCGGAACCCTCCGGAACCTCACGAGGTATCTGCACCGGAACACCTCACGAGGTATCTTATCTGCACCAGAACCCACTGGAACCTCACGAGGTATCTGCACCGGAACCCTCCGGAACCTCACAAGGTATCTGACCAGGTATCTGCACCAGAACCCACCGGAACCTCACGAGATATCTGCACCAGAACCCTCTGGAACCTTGTCCGGAACCTGGTGTTGAAGCTGCACGGATCTAATCTAGGTTAAAGACCCCATAGCAAAATTTTGTTGTTGGGGGAAAAGATCCGCAACTTATGCGTCAATAAGCTTCGGAGGTATCCCCAACAGCCGCAACGTTTTATTCTCACAAATCTTTCTGAAGCGTGCTGCGAAGCCAAGCGGTGGAAACTTCTCCGGAACCCTGTTGAACATGACCTGGCTGCACCAAAGCCTCCCAGACCTTCACCGGAACCTTCTCCGGAACCCTGTTGAACCTGACGTGGCTCTGCACCAAAGCCTCCCCGACTTTCTCCGGAACCTTCTCCGGAAACCTGTTGAACCTGACCTGGCTTTGCACCAAAGCCTCCCGGAACCTTCTCCGGAACCTTCTCCGGAACGGAACCCTGTTGACTCTGGCCTGGCTCTGCAATCTCTGCACCAAGTTGAACTTGACGACTCTGCACCAAAGCCTCCGACATCTCCGGAACCTTCTTCGGAACCCTGTTGAACTTGACCTGGCTCTGGACAAAAGCCTCCCGAGACCTTCTCCGGAACCTGTTCCGGAACCCTGTTGAACCTGACCTGGCTTTGCAACAAAGTCTCCCCGACCTTCTCTGGAACTTTCTCCCGAACCCTGTTGAACCTGACCTGGCTCTGCACCAAAGCCTCCAAGACCTTCTTCGGAACCTTCTCCGAAACGGTGTTGAACCTGACCTGGCTCTGCACCAAAGCCTCCCAGAGCTTCTCCGGAACTTTCGGAACCTTCTCCGGAACTTCGTTGAACCTGACCCGGCGCCTGCACCAGTGCACACCGGAGCTATTCTGGGCTGAGGACCCCATTAGCTTACGCTGTTGGGGAAAAACACATCAACCGTTTATCCTTTCCATTTTTTTCAACCGCGCATGGTTCCCACTCCTGTGTGTAGGAGCTTCTGTGGGTAAAACATCTGAGTGTAAAGGCACCTGTGCTTAATGTTTTTTGTAAGCACCAAGTTTTGTCTGTAAACATGTCGGTGTGCAAGAAAAAATCTGTGTGTAACAGTTGCTGTGTTCAAAAATTCCTCATAGAAACATCACTGCGTCAAAATTCTACGTACGTGGACACGTTTTCTATGCGTAAAAAATGTTGCGCATAAAAGCCTTCACTCTGTACCAACTGCTGTGTGGAAGCGCGCTCTTGTAAGCACCTGTGTGTCAGAAGTTCCTGTGTAAAAACATCTATATGTTAGAAGTTTTTGTGTGAAAAATGTTGTGTATATACGTTTTTGTGTCTAAAAAAACCATGTGTTTGTCAAGGCACCTGCGTTTCAGAAATCTCAAAGTTCCTTATGTAAATAAGCTTCGGTGGTATCCCCAACAGCCGCAACGTTTAATTTTTACACATCTTTCTGAAGCCTGCTGCCAAGCCAAGCGCTGGAAACACCTCAGCTGGTTTTCCGCATATTAATTGGCCGCAAATCCTGTTGAACCCGACCTGGCTCCGCACCAAAACCTCCCAAACCTTCTCCGGAACCTTCTCCGGAACCTTCTCCAGAACCCTGTTGAACCTGACCTGGCTCTGCACCAAAGCCTCCCGGAACCTTCTCCGGAACCTTCTCCGGAACCCTATTGAACCTCACATATCTGCGAACCCTCTTCAAAACCTGTTGAACCTGACCTGGCTCTGCACAAAAGCCTTCCGGAACCTTCTCCGGAAACTTCTTCGGAACCCTGTTGAACCTGAACTGGCTTTGCACCAAAGCCTCCCAGACCTTCTCCAGAACCAGAACCTTCTGCCGAACCCTGTTGAACCCCACCTGGCTCTGCACCAAAGCCTCCCCGACCTTCTCCGAAACCTTCTCCGGAACGATCTCCGGAACCCTGTTGAACCTGACCTGGCTCTGCACCGAAGCCTCCCAACCTTCTCCGGAACCTTCTCCGGAACCTTCTCCGGAACCCTGTTGAACGTAACGTGGCTCTGCACCAAAGCCGAACCCTGTTCAAACCTGACCAGGCTTGGCACCAAAGCCTCCCAGACCTTCTCCGGAACCTTCGGATCATTCTCCGGAACCTTGTTGACGAGACAACTCGGGATTTCACCAGGCAAAACGATGAGCTCAAGAACACGCTAATGAGGATTTAACCTAATTTAACTACAAGAAAGAGATCGCGCCAATATAAGCCGCGGACTTTATTTGGTACTTGGCAATTGGGCGTGGCAAGCTGCTATTTTCATCCTTCGCAATTCCACAGTATCTGCAGATCGCAATGGGGTGGCTGCAACGTTGGCATCTTACACGTGCGCACCCACACAAATGAGTGCACACAAGGAGGCACACACATTGATTCTTTACACCCCGAAATTTGCGCGCACACACACTTGCGAAGTCATGAAAGACGGTCTCTTTTCATGAATGCAAAGTCTGATTACCTCATGGTAGATTGAAGGCATCACTCGGCCATACCGAGTTAAAAAGGCCAAGCTTATCCGTTGACATTTGAATGTCAGGTTGTTTAAAAGAGAAACCAATACGACTCAATCAAACGTGATCATGAAATGACTGAATGACGGCATGCAGGTTCTTGGGTTAGCCTGATCCCATAAAGTACTAACAGATACGAATATGACCACCAGCTATGACCCCAACATATTGGGTATGTCATCCAGGTGCATCATGCAGGTACGTTTTCACAACCTAAGGTGGGTGTCTTCATTGGCACAAGACTCACCAAAGGTCCTTGTGCCCCCTGCTATGAATTAAAATGCAACGGTATCCAAAATTTATGGTGGAAAGCAGTTGAAAACTAGTTGGTTGGAATCAGTCGCAAGAAAGTGAGGAACTCTTTGGTACAGAGCTTGACACACACAAAAAGGCACGAAGCCGGGTTGGTATTTCTTTAAAGGCGAGAATGGAAGACATCATCAATAGATTGGTGAGAAACCGCAGAGGAAAATTTTTGCAACCTCATCAGCGTGTTAGTAAATATTTTGCCGCAGCCAAAAGGTTAGGTATGCTTGAACTGCCTTCTGTACAGGACGCGTTGGCAGTCTGTTTTGGAGAACCCTTTCTGTACGTACAGCTGAATGAGTTGGTTGAGATCATCACGGACAAATTGTTTGGGAAACGTGTATCTGCGAATTAAGGTTGCACGGGACTTTAGTCCGGACAAGCGGAGACGCATGCTGCCAGCAGAATGGAGATCACGAATTTTCCATAGTGGAGGTACTTGGTACCTTACGGTTCGTTGCACGACATCGATGGTGAACCCAAGGAGTGTACCATCTTCGACGGTTTCCAACTCCACCGGCGCTTGATAAAAGAAACAATCGGAAAGCACTCGCATGGGCAATGCGGAGCGAAATCGATGGTCAAACAAAATGAATCTGTTGTCCACATATCGTGTGAACAGAAG